GATTCTTAAACTGGATTTATTTTAATTCCCATTATCTCTTATTTAAAGAAAAGTGTAAATCGAGTGTTTAAATTTGTAAGGTAAAGATAATCGTTTTTTATATTTAAATAACTTAAAATTTTCACATTTAATTGGTGTCATAAAAATTACTTTGATGCAAAGAACTTTACCTTGGGAGATTCATTTGCATCTCATATTTCTCTGTAGTACAATTGCGGTCGACCTTTTGGTAGTTTTTTTATTTTGCCCATTGTTAGCTAGGTTATTGCCAAATTAACGTTTTTGAGTATTTTAAGCAAAATTTTAAATAAAATGCACTAATCATTTTGTTGAATCATATCTTACATTGTCCTTAGTGCATTTTTTCGAAATGGTGAATACTGCCGCCAATTTTCTCAACATAAGTAGTTTTTGGATTAGGTATAGATAGTTTATTTAAATTTTTATTGTTTTCAGAACATCTTATGAAAACGTCTCCAATTTGTTTTGTCCTATAAATTTGGTATGTACCGTAAAGAACGAAGAATTTATTGACCATAATGTCATATTTTTTATTACTTCAAATACTGGATATTGCAGCTATTAATTTTTGTAATGGAACATCTTATACATATATTTTATATTTATGCATAAACAACAAACAACTATAGGCAATAAGATTTTTGCTTTAACTAAAATATAGAACAAAAACTCAACACTAAGTAAGATAAAATTGTATAAGCTCTAAAAATAAAAGCTTATACCAAATGCTCAAAATGATTGTCCTTTAGGTGCGTTGTGGAAATGACCTAATAGAACAGTCCCTAACGGCATTTGGGACAACTTCTGAAGGGATTTGCACGTATCTCTCCCATAATACGAAGGCCCAATTCTTGAACATTTTTGGGCGGAGGTGTAGACTTGAGAGGTGTATGTTTTTATCGTAATTTGTTATTGGTATATTGGAAAGTGACACTTGGTAAGTTCCGGCAAAAGTGACTACTACTTTTTCTCTGCTGCCATATAAAAAAGCACCCGCTCGGGCTGGGTTCGAACCCGCGTTATCATCATCGGAAGGCGGCGGCCTTGCAGTTGCGCTACGCAGCGTTCTATTCAATATTAAATATTTCTGAAAAAGCGACTAACTAATAGAGATAATTAACAATAACCTTACGTCATTTTATTTACTCCGAAGCTATTAGTCAATTTCAAAGACTCTCCTACGATTTCTATGCCATATTTCTTTTGAAATGAACGCGTGCGCTTTAAATAATTGTGAACCAGGCGAGCGCGCTGAAACTCGCCTTCGGGTGTCGAGGGTTACGCGTGACCTCGCGCGTGAGACCACAGCATATCGAAGGGTACTCTATATTCTGTGATGTTATGCATGATATGATTTTACTCCCGTCCAAAACATTTCCTGCATACTGCATACAGACCGATAAAAAGCCTTCACTCAAAAAAGCGAAAAAATTTTTGTATAGCGTACAATGTACAATGTGTCAAAACTGACAAGTACTGTTCAATTGGTGACTACTAAAAATTCAATCTCTATACGGGGTGTTCCTAAACGAAGTAGCAAAAGCTATACCAAGGAATCCGGAGCTGAAAATAAGACTAATGAACTGTACCCCAGTCCAAGGCGGTGACTAGCTTATGCGAAGTTACAGTTCTTTAGTTGTTACGGAGCGTGTATAATATAGGAAAATTCTTTTATACTTGCAACATAAAATGTCGATGCCCTCAAGTTTGACGTGTGGTCCTATATTGTACACCATCAAGATTTTTCGTTCGTTTCTGGACATTTTAGGTTTTTTGAAAAATACTTCACTCGAAATGTCAAATTGTAAGAAAATTGTAAGTGTCATTTTGTTAGTAGGCACTATTTTGGTTGTTGATGTTCGCTAATGCTTTTTTATGGCCCATTTAAAAGGAAATTGTAGGAACGTGTGTGAACGCATCCATAGTTCGGTACCTAATGGAAACCATACCATTAGCTACTTAGGCTGTAACTCCGAATAAGCGAAACTTTGACTCAATTGTTCTCCTTTTTAGCAGTGGATTCGTTGGTGGCATTTTTTCTACTTCATTTAAGAAACACCCTGCCCTAACGTTAATTACATACATGCATGATTTATACAAAAAATCTTAGCCATCGAGCGGCACAATGAGCCTGTGGTGCGCCTAAGTATTGCCTGGTCGGGTTCCCCTTGTGAATAGAGTATAATAGAAAGCCATCGAGCCGAGTTGACAGAAATCTCCCTATAGACTTAATTTCATCGTCTACATTATTCATAGTAGGTACTCCCTTACTTTTTAAGAGGTACGTCGGTATTTGATTCAGATTAGTAACTATAGAAGACATTTTGAAGCGGCAGACTGGAGAAAAAAAAAGGCGACTTATAGATGCACATGATTTTTGGACAGAATGTACAGTATGATCATACGCATGAATACGTATAGGCTGTCAAAATTTACGTTTCAGAAGACACTCAAAAAACTTTTTTATACTACGTGGACTAAATCAACGTGTTTTGTCTTCATTTATGGAACTAAAGTGTCAGTTTTTCTCCCGGAGGGAGCAAAACGCGACGCAGGACAAAAAGTGAGGGCAGCTAGGTACATACTGCAACAACAAATACAATCTATTGATCAATGGTTACCTTTATATCTATACATTTTGGTTCTAGTACTATATCTTATACTTAGGTATTATATACAAGGTGTCCATTATGTATGGAATATAGTATATATCTCGGTAAATATCGAATGTATAAAAACATTTTCTATATGAAAGTTGTTTAACATTTTATACCCGATAATAAGGCAGCATTCAGTTGTTTTTATTTCAGAAAACAGATGAGTAACCAAAAGCAATTGCATTTTTTTAAATGGCAGTGCACCTTTTCATTATGCTCATTATTATTGCTGCCTTATTATGGGAAATAAAATGTTAAACAACTTTTATTTAGAACAATTATGTATACAGTCGATACTTATAGAGATATATACTAAAAGTATTCCAAACATAATGGGCACCCTGTATACCGTTTTCCATATATTTTATATATGGATCCTGCAATCAAATAAATTTTATTATTTCAAATTTGTACCTACTTGGACGTAGAAATTACTGTAGCTGATTAAAGGAGTACAAAATATGGCGTATAGGTATACCACAGGACTAAAGTGCGTCCTAATACATCGGGTACCTCAAATACGTTTTGGGTAACAATCTTCACCCTCGGGATTAAAACACACACTGTTTATTTACATACCTAATTTTATACTTTTCAATAGGATTTATATTTCAGAAGGCACTCTGTCTTTCAATCAATACTCAAACCTTTTGCGACGGTGAACACCTCAAAAACGTCAACCTAATGTGACAAAAAGTTTCCAAGTAATTGATTCAATCTATCGATTTTGAACAAGTGAAACTAAGATTAGACTGTTGCGTCATATCACTTTGTTTATTTAACTTAATAATACAAACACAGTTCAATTAAATATGTCTTATCGCACAAGATTCTAAACTTTACGTATTGAGGTCATCCCATTCATTTGAACGAAAAACGTTTGCAGAACATTTGCGGTAGTGGCATTCCTTTTCATGTAAAGAATTTGATTCATGTGCCTCAATTAATATTACGTTTTTTTTTTGCAGAGAGGGATGTAAGTAAACTATTTCCAGTTTTGCCACGCTATTTAGGTAGTCATTGTATTATTGGCTGTGATTTCGTTGAGAACCCTCTTTTGCATGATCAAAGATTTCTTGTTTCTAATAATTTGGTAAATAAGTATACCATTTCCCTAACGATTTGGCTTGAATTAGAATTTATTTATATGACGTGATAGGTACAATTTTTTGAGATTCATGTCATGGCTCTAATTCCTCTGAACATTTCTTAGCATATGTTCTTCTCGTTTTTTTTATCAAAATTGACTTTGTTCAAAGTATTTTTATATACTCAGCTAACTTTCAGATTAATAAATCCCCAACTAATTCAGATAGATATCCTTTTTCTAAAATTAATTTAGAATGGCATAAATTATCAAAAACCGGCATCATGTTGTCCCGGTGTTGGTTTTTCTATGGACTTACGTTACAAATTAGAGAATCTCGCCCACACTAAAGTAATACGAATGAATTTATACCTTCATCGTTCATTTAGATCAATTTCTATTTTCATCAATTTGTTGATTATTTTTATTTGTAGATATCAATTAGGTAATACTGGCATCAAATTTTTTACGGGCAATTATAGAAATAGGGTGGCCCTAACTCCGGCAACCCTCCATACAGTGATGTGCGTACGGACTTAAGGGACGAGTTTTCGACTCTATTGATGCACTGATGTAAATTTAGTACCTACTCTTGGACCATTATTTTTACATACGTATACCCCAATTAATTATAATTTTATATTACGGATCTCAGTGGAGGTAAGTACCTCTGAATGTATAAGTTGAGTAAATATAGGTGTATATACCGTTTTCGCACCAGTTTCTACTAAAGCGTATACTAATGTGTTATTTTTGGGTATCTGCGAACGGGATAATGAAACATAACGCGATAACTACGATTATAGAGCGTTTTCGAGACCGTCGCGTAAGTGTATCTATAGGGTAATTGTCAAATAGTGCCCTACATATTACACTACTAATTTAACTGTGTGCGTCTAGACAACAAGCGGGTCAAATATAGGCGAGCAAACAGCTGATCGTCCCTTGCAACCCGGACAAGGACCGCGTGACGAGGCGTACAATGTGTTAAAAGGAGTGCACCCTATGGCCAGATTTGGCGGTGCGATAGAGACAATCAAGCGCATTCAACCCTGATTTTACACGCACTTGACTCGAGTCCGGGTTACGGGGATCAACATTTACATAACTTTTACTGTAACGCCTCATATTTACCAAGCGGAAGCGTTAACGGGTGAAGATGGTGTACTTTACAGGTGAGCTTTTATGACTATTTAATGAGGTACGCCAATATTTATGTGACAATGAACACCTACCTGCAATGGCCATCCACGGGTAGAAGGTGTGATTCGTTTGTTGATGTATCTGCGTACCAACAGGTTGGGACGATGATGTGTTTAGGGAACACGGATTGTTCCAAGACGCTAAAGAGTTAGATGTGCGATTTCCTCCGGCGGCGCCTGGACTAGACGAAGGGTCGCCTCCAACCAAACCCACCGAGGTACTGTAACCGACTCGGGAATCAGGTGTACAAGCGGCGGGCCTTACTGGACCTCCCAAACTATTTGCTAAATTTGCGCCGCCACCTGTAGTTGCACTCTGCCATACATCCTTAACTGCAGCAGCCGCCACCACCGATGCGTATCCGTTTTGATCTGCGCTGCCTTTGGAACAATCTGGTTTTGTATTTGACGAACTATAACTGGAATTTTGTTGACTATCTGCAGACGAGGAATATAATTTACATGCGGCAGCCACTGAAGCATCATAAGGTGAATCTTGTGGTGGTCTGGTTTGGTGTAAGGAATGATGGTGGTGATGCTGGCTCGAAGCGTACGGTGACATTCCAAGGCTTAGAGGAAAAGAGCGATATGCTGCGGCCGCTGCAGCACTCTGGTCATGGTGGTGTGCTGCGGCAGAGCTGGCGCTTTGGTGGTGGTGACCACCGTAAAACCCGCTCTGCTCGAAATAAGAGTTCATAATTATGGCGTTAATGTTGACGTTTTTTTGTTAACCCCCTTGAAAATTAAATGAGCACTCACAACTGTTGAGGTACTAAATTTAAATTGTCACTCTGGACACTCAAAAACTCATCATAAAATTTAATCACTTTCGATAGCAATTAGGTAGTAGTTGATTAACTGTTTTCATTTAGGCATTATAAAAAAAATTATGTTCGATAAAGAATGTTTAAAAAAATTCACGACATTATAATCTGTTCGGGTAATGACATCCACTTGTAATATAGGGGAGCAAAATGTGTTTAATAGTTAATAAAATGATTATTGTTACGACGCAATAGTAATAAAATTGGCAATAGTAATAAACGGTAGGATACGAATTCGCACGAGTACACGGCGCAAAGGCTCAAACCGAAATGTACCCGTTTTGCTTGTTAGCGAAGTCGCGGATCAAGACCCACTGGAGCTCAGGAGTCTGCTCGGCCCACACATCCCGGCCCATTTGCGTTCCCGCTCACACATGGCGCGTTGTCTCACTTCCCTTTGATACAGCTCCCCCACTACGATTAAACACGCGGCAACAATAGCTACATCATTAAGAAAATTACGCAGCTACCTGAATTACCTTAAAGTGTACTAAAATCCTTTTTAACTTCATTATAAATTCTGAAGAATTTTTTGAGGGCGGTTTTGAGTACGGCTCAATGCCTGCACAAACGCAAGTAGAAAAGTGCAATTGTGGTTGTGCTCCATTCCCTTATTTCCACTATTTACTAGAAATGCGTAGATTTTACTACAGTACATTTTAGACAGTAAAACACTCCATAAGCACTTAGTTTTCCGCTTATAGCAAGTGATGGATAAAGAGATAGGCGCACCTAATGTAAAACTAAGATAGAATATTAGATATGGAAGGGGCAGAAGCACCAATAGCAATCGAATTCGTTAAAACCGAAGCGCCCACTGAGAACATTGCGCACGCAAAATATAATCTGAAACTACTACTCCTACTATACAATCAATTTCCCCCTCTGTGGTATTCTCTCTGTCTATCCTTTGGAAAACTAACACACGAACTGGTAGCGCACTCTGGCGTTGAAGTGCCAAACTTTTATAGTAGATTCTATTCAACTTTCAAACGAGCAACATCAAATTAAATTGATACTTCAGAAGGTCGTAATAGATAATTTCGACCATAAACAAATACTTTCCTGACTTTTTATTTTTTCCTTCCTTTCATGATCTGTAAACTTCGTAATTGTGTACCCTTTTTTACATCGATTAAATACCTTCAATTAACTGGAAATCCTTACGCCAAATGCAAATTATAGTCATACACATTTCAAACACGGCATTTAAAGATGTCTTATGTGAACGGCATCTTTAATAACTTCGAAAAACCGGAGTACACTTTATAAGTTTAATTTTTGGTATCGATACCACGTAAGTACAAGTTTATAGGTAGGTACCTAAATAATTTTTTGTCGAAATAAGCTCTATTTTCTATTTATAGGTAGGTAGGTACCAATTCGATTTATGAATAGAAACTTCAAACTGTGCGGAAACGTAGCAATGGTAACACAAAGCCATTCGATTCCCTTTTGTGCTTTTTTAAGAGCATCTGTAAACAAACATAATAAAAAACGGAATCGAGTAAATATTGGACAAAAGCGTGTACCTATACATAAATCAAATGGATTAATTTGGGAATACATACCCCAAAAATTAAATCACATATCTCACAGAAGTATATAGGTAGGTACAGGCAATGTAGGGCATAAGTGCTGTAAATTGAACACATGTCAAACGATACTTATGCGATTTAAATATATATCTGAAAGTAGGTACTGCCTTGAATGAAACGTATAGTTAGACAGAATAGGTACCTATGCATTAAAGCGGGCTAAGACGTTAATTTAAAACAAAATTAAGAGAGAGGTAACGATCCTATTTCATTTTTACGAAGGTAATTAAAGAGTGCAAATATAGGTACCTACAGGTACCTAAGTACCTCAAAAACAACTTTTATTTCGGGCATTGCTCCACTACTTTTAATTCTAAATAGGTAGGTATACCTGTCTGTATAAATCAATTTTCGTCATCATAAAAATAACATCGAGCCTCTAAAGTTACCGATTGATTATAATGTTAATTTATAATGGTGTTTGAATAATTTAATGCGGTTTTTGGTTTATCAAAACCGAACTATGTATAACAGCTGCTCGAAACTATGACTCTAGGCCACCTAATCGTGTGCAAACTACGATGCTTAGGAGGACTTTTACGTTAGTTCTCTGATTCAGTTCCTTACGTTGCCGCTCGTAAAGCAAAAGAGAGTCATAGTTACTCCCGCGTTGTTTACTCTTTGATATAAGATAAGTTTCAATAGATTTAGCAATAAGGCCGTGACAAGTTTTTAAACGAGATTTTTTTCATTATTACTGTTGAAGATAAAGAATTAGGTAGTTCAGTAGAAATACACCATCGTATATCTCTCATAAATTAACAGAATCTAAATGGCTCAATATGTATAATTGAAGAGTTCTGCATTCATCATTTTATTTCACAAAATTATAACTACTAAGAAACCGAATTACCTTTTTGACCAAATTAAATTTAGATACCTACCTATAGGTAATATTCACAACGTAAATACTAGAAAGAAAAGTTTTATCATACCTCCAATCCATAAATCGCATTTATTTACAAAGACTTTCTCATATACCGTTACTAATTTATATAACTCACTGCCTGAATGTGTAAAAACACTTAGAACTGCCACTTTCAGACATCGGCTTACTAAAACTATTTCCCTATGAAAATAAAAAAAAATAGAATAAAATGTTCTTTTTTTGCTTTTGTTTTTTTGATTTTTAATTTATCTTTATTGTTTTTCTCTTTTTTATTAATTAACTTCCTCTCTTTTTCATTTATAAATTATTATTGTCATTTATTGCAAATGGCACGCCACTAATCAATTTAAACAATCAACTAATTCATATTAAATTAGGTAACTAATATAAATTCAATGTTGTACTCAGGACGTATTCTTTCTATAATTAAAAATTATTGTTAAGGATTAGGGTTAAGTGGAAGAGCAGATTATGGAACATCCTTTTCATAAATCTGAACGTCGTCCTATTGAAGGTGACTCTGACGTTATTTTGTATTTTCTATTTAATAATAATACATTTAATTCAGTTTATTATAGTATGTACTTACAATGTTATCCCTTCAATAAATCAATAATTTGCAATTCACTGCTCTTATCAAAATGGGCGATGAAGTAGTATAAAACTCGATCTGTTGTTGTAGGTTTGCAGAGTTTTACCATATTACTACGTAGCCCTTGAAGAATCACATTCAATCTTTTCAAAAATTCGTACATAATTTTACATTGATAAATTGCCCCTACATTTCTATTTAAGCCAATATTCTCAATTTTAAAAATTCCGTGGGAAAAAAGGAGGTTCTGTTGTTGTTTCACACCTTCAGAACAGCTATTTCCTGGCAGGTTCTGCCGCCGCGTCTGCAGCTTCTTTGAAGCACAACAAATACAATTGGAAACATGGAGCGAAAGAAGACAAAACAATAGGCGCGTTCACCAGACGAAGCGCTTCATATGAGCGTTATCTAAAGGCGGGAATACTCTAGCAAGGTTTCTCGCGCTGGTTGCTGGCTGATACCACTGTCGAAGTGTACCTACATACCACAGTAAGTCAGAGGTACGTTGGTCTCGAAGCGCTTCGTCTGGTGAACGCGCCCATTGTGGCAAGAAATAGGTTCCTCGCTGCAAACAAAAATTGGAGTTCGTCATGCCAAAACATATCTTCAACAGCAAATATAAGCTTGGCGATCCAACGACACAAAGTGTTTTGGAATATTGCCGCCAAGCATTAGGAATGGGAGAAATTTTTAATTTACTAAGAAAATATATTGTTAATTATTTATTTACTAAGATATTTCTGAAATTTTTGTATTATCTTAATTATCAAAAATTTTAAAAATACGGATCTGCAATTTGCAAGTCTATCAATACTGTACTGAAAACTTTATAATGCGACGAATACATCAGAATAACTGAAGTTCTTTGCATGAAATGACTTAAGAATCTTGTTTGGTTAAGTATAGGAAACGGAGTGAATTGTATTTTCCGAACAGAAACCTTGAACACAATATTTTTCATCTCAAACCGAACCGGACAACAAAATGCGGTTCGTTTTGAGTCTTCCCAATGGCCTATTATAGTCTTGCTTTCTAGTGACGATGTATAGGTAAGTACTGATTTGTAAAAGTTTCGGCTCAGTCTAAGATAAACCAATAAATGATTCGGTTCTAGTTTCGAAATGTTGATTTTGGAATTCATTTCCCAGAGAGAGAATAATTTCCCCAAAGATATAAAACATTGCATTCCTATAATTTAATTAAACATTCTCGGATTTATTTTGCGATCATAACGTGTTATTCTTTTATGTTCTATACGCAAATATTGAATGTTGGATTTTAAATAACGTGAGGCTGCCGGCTGAGTGCCATGCATTTTTGACAGTTGTTTATATTTAGGTAACCTTCCGCAGAAAGAATAGAATATGTTTCGCTTTACCTTGCATCAACGTTTTGAAATACGTAAAACTTATTTTGAGTGTGGCTGATGTAGTTGTCGGAAGGCGCGAAAAATCCGTAGAAAATTTGAAAAAATAAAGGGATTAAATATTTTGTTGATAATGCTGGTGGACATGTTCCGCATGCTCATCCTAAGCACGCACCCGAATCAGTCACTGCTGTGTCAGAGAAAGTGGACCCTCTAACACGTCAACATCAACACGATACAGAATTTAACCACTCACTGAAGCGAATTAACCATATCAACAACGTTTTCACTGGATATCGATCTATAGAAGTCTGGTTTCAGCAGGACGGTGCAACTTTCCATACCGCCGCTCTGGCCATCAACGTTTTGTGCACAAAGTTTAACAATCGTTGTGATTAAACGTTTCGGAAATATCCGCGCTGGCCACCTCGGATCTGCGATTTAACCCCACTAGAGTACTTTCTGATGGGGCACATTAAACGATAAAGATAATCCTCAAATCTCTCAAATGTCCTCGAATATATGGGGTCCTGGATGGACTAGTGCCGATCCAGGGGAGGTGGCCACCTCAATGAAATCCTTTTTCTATAGGTACTTAGGTGTACCTACATTCCTATCATTGAAATAAAATAAACCATATTTTTTCTTGTGCTTATAGGTATCTATTGCTAACTTATAGTTCCACATAGGTATAGATAGATCACCTTTTACACCGCAACATTTATTCAATTATTTAGCCATATATGTATATAATGGTCTTCTAAAGTGGCTTTTATTCGGGAATTGACAAAGTGAAAGTTAAAAGACACAGCCAAGAATCTTGTATGGAAGCATCATCATTACCTATTACTAATGTTTGATATTTTGGGGGTGAGAGCAGTAAGGAATTATTTTTTTAACA